TGGAAATGACACCTCTCTTGGCGAGCAAGTRATAAGAGGATTGTGGGATGACGTCAGGGATGGGGACTACAAAGTGCCACAGAAGATGACACCCCACCCTCCTATGATCAGGTCTGATTTTCAAAATAATGTACTTTAGAGACGTCTGTTTTAAACTTTTGAACAATGCTTTGGAAAGGGAATCTTGGAGGTGAGGCAGACTAGCACACAGTGGCCTCTGGTGGACTGTAAGCTCTGAAGCTGAGATGGGATAATGGAGCTGGGGTCTTCACAATTTAGAGTCTGAGACCCCCCTGGAGAGTCTACCATCATGAAGACTACCTACTTTGGGTGTCTGTGAACCTGAGGTGGACTGGGGCCATGGAACCCAGGGCTTTACGCATGCTAAGAGCATGCTCTACCACTCAGCAGTGCCCGCTCCCCTGGCTGCACTTTAAAACCAGCTGTTTGGGTGATTTGGACACAGAAAGCCACAGATTGCTTCCCTCTAGAGACTTCTCTGGTGGAAGGCAGCCTTCAGCTCTCTTCAGGGTTCACTCTTGCTCTCATTTCATGGCCTTTATAACTCAGAATTTAGGTAAAAGTGCTTCTTTGCTTTTAGGCCTGGGCATTACAGAATTGCTTGATTTTACTCTCTCTTTCTCTTGGCTCCTCCCCGCCACTGTGTAAACGAGAAGGTACTTTCATTGTGCTGAGCTGATTTCTCCTGTATCCTTCACTTTTAAATGAGGTCTAGGAAATGCTGACCAGACAGGAAGCTCTGACCTCTCCTTTAAGGCTCAAAGCCTCAGGTATTAACAGAGAAATGAAGGAGGCCACAGAAGGCTGGGACCAAGGAGGCAGAATGGGTAAAAGGCATACATCTGGAAGAAAAAGAAGTGAAAGCAGTTGCCTACTCCAGGTCAGAAGCCAGCAGGAAGGAGGAGTGAAATGGCCCATGAGGATTATGGGGGCGGGGGGCGGTCAGAGGGGCGCTGGGCACAGAGTGATGGATGGACAGCTTCTTCACAGATCCAACAGTATTTAGTGCCAACACAGGGTTTTTTTATAACCTCACTCAACTCTGTTTACCAATTCAACTTTGGTAAATTCCATCCATTCTTCAAAACAGTCGGCTGATAATGTCAAGTCCCTAAATCTACGGGCTTGGCCATCTGAAATGAGATCTTTTATCCTTCTCTGGCTTTCCAGAATACATGTTCATTGCATTCTTGCAAGAAGAAAGACTACCCATAAAAGAAAAATTAAGGGGCATAAAGTCGAAAGAATATTATACCAAAGCTTTTGGTAAGAAAATATTTATGTCCACAGTACTTGCCACACCCTTTCTGGGAAGATATTACTGGCCTAGAAGCTGGGTTAGTGTATCCCAAAATACACCTCACAAAAAGCACAGTTACCCTCCCAAAATAGGCCCTATAATTAAGTGAAGTCTTTTCAAGTGGATTGTTCTATATCACAACTTGACATATGTTGCTTTAATCTCTCTGCTTCAGCAAATGTAGCCATATTGGGCTACAAAAGCTCTCAGCAACTCACATTTAAGCCAGATTGTGGTGTCACTAGCAAACTGATGCAAATAAACAGTCCTGGGTACCAAAATACTCAATCTCAATCATCTGTAATGAGATCTCTCTGCTCCCTGAGCACATTTTGATCACAACAGAATTGCTACCCTTGATTTAAAAGAACGAACAGCCCAGACTGAAGTACGGTTTCATCTCTGAGGTCACCTGAAGACAAACACATCTGAGCAGGCTGGGGCTGAAATTGAAAGCATGAGACTTCTTTTGTGGAAACGCTGGGCTCATGCTATGTGAGTCTCACTTTTATGTGTAGGGACCAGCATTCAGTATGAGCCACTGGAGGCCCATCGTCTGGAATTTATTTAGGTCAGTTTTTGCTTGGAGTCAAGGGTAACAGATGAGGTAACTTCTCTGGAGCCCTTTCAGCCTTCTGAATCCTGAACCAATTTGTTTTTTACATATTACATATAATTACATGCGTGTTAAAATATTTAAATTTGTAAAGATTTAAAGAAATGAGTACTTCAGACATTTAAATTTTGTTACTGCTTCTAATATGAGTTTCTCAAGGTCAGCACTATTGACATCTGGGGTTGGGTTATTCTGTGTGTGTGTTGTGTTGCTGTCCTGAACACTGTAGGGCATTTAGCACATCCTGCCCTCTGGACTCCATTAGCACACCCTCCTTCCCCTCAGTTGGGGCTTGATACTACCAAATGTCTTCTGGGAGGGTGAAACTGACCCCGCTCCTGAATCACTGCTCACTCTCTATTTATGTGTTTATATCTCACCCCCTGGCATGGCCARGAGAACAAAGGTCTATCTCAAACCTCCCCTGACTCACAATGAAGAATTGGGATCTGTGACACTCTACCTCCTCTCGAGATTTATAAACAGCACTGCTGATGTCTCCAAATAAGGGAGCCAGGACCTGGCTTCATTTTAGTCAGAACTAGGATGAGGACGGATTTGCTATCACCTAGCTCCTGGAAGTGACCCTCCCTGCTTTCTGGATATCCATTCTTAGAAGAGGGTTCAACAGAAACCCTCACTGACCCACTGCTAGGTAGTGACTGACAACAGGGGTTAGGGTTGGGTATCTGTTAACATCGTCTGCAGAGGCCATGCTTCTGGGCCAGATCCCATCAGGGGCAGCACTTCAAGTGCTGGGCATATGTACAGGAGGGACAGTGCTCTCTTCAAAGAGTTTTGCAGGGCAGGGAAGGATATGAAAGAGTCCTAGAGTGGGGGATGGGAAGTTCAGCCCAGAGAAGAGAAGGTGAATGAGGAAGGAGAATATCTAAATATCTGGAGAGCTGGCATGTGGGAGAGTGAGTGGACTTCCTTAGAAGATGACTCAATAAACATTTACAAATTTATCACTTCTCTTCCATGTGCTAGGCACTGGGATGACAGAAAGGAGTAAGTCCAATCCCTGTCCCATGGAGCACATATTCGAGTCCTAAAAACTAGATTGTTTTTCTTTCCGTCCATTTTTTACCTGGCCTCCTTTCCATCCCTCTCTTTCTTTTTAAAAAGTTGAGATAATTGTCCAGTTGTTTGTCTAACTGCTCATTTTTTTCCATTTTAACAATTAAGTTTTAACTTAACAGCAAAATTCACCCTTTCTAGTGTGTTCAGTCCTGTGGGTTTTCACAAAAGCATGCAACTGTACACGTACCACTATAATTAAGCTATGGAACATGTTTATCCCCTCCCCGAAAATTTCTCTGAATCCCCTAATTGTTTATTTATTATTTTATTTTCTTATTGAGACAGAACCTTTGTATATCTACATGGGGTTCAGTATAGTGACTTGATCCACGTATGCAATGCGTAATGACCAAATCAGAGTAATAAGCACTTCTATCTCCTCAAATTTTAGTCACCTCTTGGCGACTCTTGTACTCTTCAAGATATTTTGAAATATGTGATAGAGTGTTGTAACCAACAGTTCCCCTACCAGGGTTCAGAAAGCCAGAGTTAATTTCTCTTCTCTGTGTTGGTGCCCTAGCAAGCTGCCTTAAGCAACAGCAGGTTCCTTATCTCTAAGAAAATATAATTCCCCTATCAGGAATTTTGTAGAAGAGACTTTTGGTAATTGGGAGGTTGGAGCAGACACTGCCTGAGGCCATGTCCATCTTTTTGATTCCATGAAACTGCAGCAGAGTCACCTATAGACATAGGATCTTCAAAATCATCAGTCCATCTGTAGTTATGGGGTAAAGATCTTCATCTCCAAACCAAATACTTCTAGTCAAAACTCAAAATTTTTAGTTCAATAATTGGATCTCTGAGAAGCTACCCAATAAGCATAGGCCAAAAAAAAAAAATCCAAAGGAAGGTTTGGAAATTAAAGCCTATATATGGTATTTACCATACTTATTAAGGGTACTATCTACCCTTAAGCCCTCTTTCTCTTACTGTTAATGTGTTTCAAAATAACATCAACTCCAAACTTGAATAAAGCTCAAACAATGTGACTTCATTTGCTTGCAAAGGTGGCAGGAAGGGAAGTTCAATTAGCCCAGCCTGTCTAAGAATGGATTGCCAAGGTTACAAAAGATGGTAAATGCCACAGAGGTTATGGAATGAATGATGGAAGGGGCTGTGGTGAGCAGCTGTGTGGTGCCCTGTGACATCAAATGGGTGTGACCAACCCATCCTAGCAGCCCTCCTGCTGGAAGATGCCTTTTGGTGGCTTATTGTCAGTGACAAATGTCCAGTCTCCAACAAGGCTGGACATGAAAATGACAGCTTTATTGAGCATCTACCATGCCCCGGTACTACCAATCTCATTTTATTCTCACAGCAACCCAATGGGGTAGGTAGCATTGGAGGCCTCTTTTTAAGAAACTCAGAAAAGTTATATAACAACCAGTAGGGCAGAACTTGAATTTTAACTTAGGTCTCCTGACCTTAAAGACTGTCCTTTTTATTACTACTAGCATGGTCTGGGATGGTTGCTGGATTGAACGTTCTTGGTCTCTTGGGCCACTGAACGCCAGTCTGTGGGCAAGCTCACAGGCATGCTGGGTCCTTAAATTCTTTAATTTACCATTCCTCAAGCAGCTAGTGGTCTGCTTCTCTCTCATTTCAACATCTAGGTAATAAGGATTTTTCTGCTTCAGAAACTATTTAATTCTTTTGGTGTACAAGTTGATTATCATGTTATACAGCTGGCTTAGAGCATAAACTAAGCTGTCATGGTGTTCTTTATCCTGTGCCCAGAAGCTTCCCTAAATCGAGACTTGCTGCATTTCAGAAAACCCCATATTGCTTAATAACATTAGTAATAACTACGGGGAAAACACCATACTGTCAGAAAACATCAATTCAGCATTGCATTTAATTATAAAAGTCCTTTCTAAGTTTAGTGCAGATTTAGAAGATGCAGAGAACAGGGCAACGACTTTCCTTCATGAGCACCATTTTACAACAGAAGGTACTAGAAATAAATGCAGCATCACTTACCAAAATTTCCGCCAACTATCACAAACTTTATATACACCACATGTCTTCTAAAACAGCGGCAGGACTGATTCTGAAAAAACAATACAAATAAATAAATAAATAACCACTCAATAGGCATAATTTAAGTACATTGTCTTTCTGGAAAAGTTGATCTCTTTCCTTTGTTTTGGGCACCCATCAATTTACCAAACTCCTCCTACTGGTTTCCTCTTTGTTTTTCACAGGAAGATGAAACCAATTACCTCAGTACATGCTACAATAAACCTGGATAATGAAATAAATCAGAAACTCTATTCACAAGTAGTTGAAATTGGGGGCTGGGGTTGTGGCTCAGTGATAGAGCGTGTTCGCATAGCATGTGTGAAGCTCTGAGTTCAATCCTCAATACCACGTAAAAATGGATAAATAAAATAAAGCTATAAAAAACCGAAATTGTTGAATTTTTAACCCCTTAAAATAATCAAAGATAAGAGAACAATGGAAAAAAAATATCTAAAGTGGAACTCATAGCAAATTTCAACCAAAGCAATCTTATCTCCCTCAACTGTCCCTTCTTCCCAGCTACCTGAGAGATCCTGAGCAATTTTCCTAACCAATTTTTTTTTTTTAGACTTCATTTTACTATCTGCAAAAGAGGGATCATTGTACTAACCTTTAAGGGTTGCCATGAGGATTCAATGACATAGATTTACAGACAGAAATGACACTTCAGAAAGGCTTAACACAGCATCTGGCACACTGTGAGCACTCAGTAAACAGGCTCAGAACATAGCGTGGCCTTCCTCATGTCTGGTGCGAACCAAGGCCCAAMTATGCTACTGGAATTCCACTGCAGCGCTGGGACTGGCTGCTGCTCTCCTTCTCATCATGATACCCCATCTGGTGTGCATCATGCCTTGCAGAAACCAGTCCCTGGGCCGCTGGTCCCTCCCTTCCCATCTACCTCTGCAGCTCTGCAAGGCATTCTTGGCAGACACACCTTCTGGCTCCCCTACTAGTTTCCTCTTTTTACCTGACACATGGGTACCTGCGTGACACAAGCATGATATCCATGCCTTTTTGGAGACTGAAGTCCAGCAGCKGTCCCCAGCACTCTCAAGCTCATCCCAGTTTGACTCCCACATGTTCCCACCAGACATTGCAGCTCCAGGTACCTGTCCTGCCCTGGGCTTCTAGCTGGCCAGTCCCTTCTCCAAGGGCTGATGGGAGGATGCCAGCTATTTTCTAAGGCAGGGACGCTTTTTACTTTTTTTGTACCATGACATTCTATAGACATGTTTTTCAAAATAATGTTTTTTAAATGATTGATATTAATACATGAAATGCACAGTATTCAAAAATAAGCTGTGCACTGATTTATAGTTATCAAAATGTTTAACAAAATTGAAATGAGTTTTTTTTTTAAATGTTTGAATAATTTTCAGAGAAACTCTAATAACTACTGTGATTTTGAAATATCCTTAAACAATAAATGATRTTTCAGGATACTGCAACTRTAATATAATATAAAAATATTCCTAAGTTCTATTTGGAATAGAACTTAGCTAGGGCTGGAAGCTAAGGCTGCTTCCATAATAATTATAGGAAATGTTAGATTTCAGTTAAGGGTTAATGCAAATTATGATTTTTCTTCCCATATAAGTTCACAGACCCCTTAAAATGATTCATGGACTTCATTCTGGTCATCATCTAAAAGGTCTCTCTCTTTACCTTTTCTACCTTGATTTTTCTAATTCGGTATTATCTTAATTCTCTTTTGTTTTTCTTCTTAACACTACTGTGTTATTTGATATATAAATGTACTTCCTGTACTTTATATTTTAAGTTGTAAGCTCTGTAATTTGTAAGAAAAGGCCCTTTTTATTCCATATTTTCAGTCCTCCTGTGGCTAATAATGCCCTTCCCTGTAGCAGGCAGGTGAGGTGTTCACCAGGAATGTCTGAATCAATCAGTGGATAAGAGTGTAATCCTGTGTGTCCTACATGTGCTTGGCTAATATTAATATTATCTCTCTTTGGCAATCTATGAGGTCCTACATATATAGGTGAATAMTATACTTAAATCATAAATGACTGAAATTAGGAAACGAAATGTTCTTTCTGTTCAGAGAGGGAATGCTTAGTCTGTGCTGTGCTACAGGTACCTGATACATGGGTACCTGTGTGACATAAGATGCTATCCATGCCTTTTTGGAGACTGGAGTCCAGCAGCTGTCCCCAGCTAGCTCAGAGTAGCTGAGGATCTCTTACTCTTCTATAACCTCTACACAGATAAGGAACTGTCAGTGATCCCCACAAGAGGACCCAAGTTGGTGAGGCCAGGTAGAGTTGCCTGGCACCCACCAGAGACCAGATCAAGACCCAGTTTTTCTATTAGTTTCACAGATGTGAGCTGGTGGAGTGAATAGTAGAAAGGATGAAATTCTCTCTCTCCTCCATGTATCCTTGTGAATGATGCTGTCTTTGCCTATGAGATCAGAGACAGCAGCCACCAAAGTGTCTCCAGAAGTTTTGGTCTCCACTGAGTCTGTGATGGACCAGCCTCAGGATGTTCACAGGACTAGCCTCAGTCTTCTGAGTCTTTTTCCTGAATAGCTGCAGCTTGGGATTCCTGTGTATTTTGTCAATCAACCAATCAATCAAACAAACAACAGAATAATTCTTCCTTTTCAAATGAAGAGAGCATAATGATTTTCTCCACTGAAAACCACTCATCAGGGCATTGTGACCACTTGCTTTGGCAGAAATTCACAATTGGCAGCATCTTTCACTCCAGACATCATGTCAAGTGACTCTTAGGGTGAGTGGGAGTACATACTCCCTCCCCAATAATGACAAAGACTGATGAGCTCAGAGAACAAAGGCTGGACTTGGCACAGCCTTTTTATACTGAAGGACGTGAAGATGCAGTTCATCCGAATTTCTTTTTTTTTTTTTGAGATATGTGGCATTAATTACCAATAAAAATAACTGATAATAAAGAGGGTGGCATGACWGATCTGTCCTCTGATTCTAGAATTACAATGTATGCATCATCATTGATGAGTAATAACATTTTTATGGGTGCTCCCATACAACAACATGTATCCCGGTGTGCCCTTTTGTTTCTGATACATACCACAGACTGATGCATGACGTGTGGCTCCTGGTTTAAAGGTACAATTTTTATTACACACTGGGAATAAGTATCTCTACTATAGTCTCATCTCCGTGGGGTCACTGCCTCCCCCTTTTTCCTAACAGCATTTCTCCAGCCTCAGTGTCTCATGGGCAGGTGACAGCACTCTCAGCTGGGGGATGGGGACTCAATCGTCCACAGTTTTGGAGGATGCCAATCAATGGCATTAGCATCACTCACAAGGTCCTTAAAAATGGCAGTTCCATGGATCCACCCAAACCAACCCAATCACCATCTATCTTACAAGATTCCCCAGGTGATCTGTGTGTACGAGGTTTGAATGGTCCTGATCCAAGGGAAACCCATTCTCTTGCCCGTGATTGGTTCAAGGATAAGCCATTGAGACATGACAAATATTTTACCCGGAGCTTCTCACTTTTTGGGAGAAAGTCCTTGCTCCTGAATTGTGTCGATATGATGTCTAGAATATCTATAACTAACTGCTTCAGCTTATGGATAGAGCTGGTCAGAGACCAGAAAAACACAGGGAAACAGAGTGCAGGTTATTGCACTGGTCAACCCTGAGGCCTGTGGTATCTCTTGAGTTTCCAAGAAATTTCTTATTGTTCCKGCCTCCTTGAGTTGGGTTTTCAATTATTTGCAGATGGAAAACTTTCAGTTCCCAATAAAGCATGATGAAAGGAATAGAACGCCAAGGCCCTGGGCTCAGCCACACGCTGAAGAGTCAGATAAGGCAGTGCATGCAGAGACCAGGGCAACAGTTCAGAGACTCAATTTGCTCAGGAAACTGACCCAGTCTTATTTCGGGTCAGTTCTGTCAACCATAGATCTTCTGCACATTTCCCAAAGCCCTCTAAATCTGCTGTTCTCAATGATCAACCAGAGGAAATGCTGATCATGTTCCAAAGTATTTTAACCAGGGGAGCCAACAGTTGTCTTCCCAAGAAGTCACATGGATGTCATTTCCTGCAAGGACAATGGGAGACTAATTGCTGGGCCTCAGCCTCCAATAGGGAAGACAACCTGTGAAATGTGATTACTGCAGGGTAAATAAGGAAGAGCTCAAGGCTCTCAGAAGCCATTTTTGGATCTGCTCCAATTACTTGGGGAAAGGGGGCGGGGGTGGGGGGTGGGAAAGAGCCAGATGGTCTGGGGAAAAAAAAATGCAAGGGGCGGCAGCTAGGATAGCCGCCTGAGCCATTTTTTTTTTTTTACACATCACTGGTAGTTATTAAAGACCTTTCTGAGGAAACCAAATAGACCAGCTATTATACAAAACCATACGTGGCTTTGGTATAATTTAACTTCATATATAGGAGTGATGTCAAGGAGAACTGAATGTCTAAATGGACATTATCTCTCTGGCGTGTCCTAGCTTCCTAGCCACAGGAGGATATTCTGGGTATGGGCTGAGGTTGGGTTTGATGTGTTGGCTCAGTGAAGAATGTATTTTCTATCAAGGGGTGGCTCACTGATGGTTTCCACAGAATGTTTCCTCAGGTTCTATCTCTTGAGAGCTCTTTTTCTCTCAAATACTTTCTGCTTTTTCTTTCCTGGTACCGCATACTCCAATAATCCCAAGTTCCATCCCATGAAATAAGCTTTTACTACAGAGCTGGACCCATCACTCATGCTCCCAGTTCATCTGCTACCCCTAAGTACTTTGAGTTCAGTAATTTGATTTGATCACTGTTCTGTTCCCAATGTCTAGTACAATGGCAGGCACTGGGTAAAAAGTGTCTGTTGAGTGAATACATTCAAGACCCCACTCGGACTCAAGAGAGCCCCTGCTATCATTTCCTACCTAGCCTCTCTGCATCTGGACTCTCCTCTCTGGATCACAATATTGCTCAGGTCCCTGCTAGAATGTCTCCGGTGGGAAGGACTTAGCAGCCCCCCCCCCCCATATTCCCCAAGTGAGAAACTGAATCC